GAATAATAATTTTTTTATTATTTGTCATTATTAACTTCACATATTTTTATGGTAATACCAAAAATTCTTAATTAAAATAAAAATTTTTAGTTTGACATTGTGTTTACAATTCTATAACATTTATTATCGAACTATAAAAACAACATAGATATTATTTATTCCACTAAATTGTTAGTTTTTATGGTAACATTAGATATATGTTATAGATATTTTACATTTTACTGTTATGGTATGAAAATCTCCATAGATTTTATATTTAATGTTATTTATTATGTTACTTTGATAACTTTGTAATATTCTAATAGATTTATATAAATCAATTTTATTTATTGGACAAGTAAATTTAAAACAAATAATCTTAGAAACTTGTTAGTAAAATCTATACTAATTGTGCATATATAAATCACAAAATCCTTTATATTATTTTATATTATAAATATATATTAATTATAAATTTTTGTTATAACAAAATAATTAATAATTTGCATATTTATATGATGCACAAAATAATATTTCCATAATTAAAACTAAAGACATAATAATGCCTCCATATATCAAGATATTGAAAATACTTTTTAAATTCTTGTACGATAAAGCAGAATAAACATAAATATTATCTTGGTGAACCTGGGCCATATTACTTTTTAAATATAAATTTCTCATCCAGTATTCCATAAGGTTTGCCTCGCGTATCCGGGATAAGCTGATATAAAATAAAATGTTTAATTTACAGTAGTTAATTAAATATAGCATACATTTTGTTAAAATAATTCAAGTAGGGTGAATTTTTAACTAATCCCATAGCTTCAAGGCTCCATGCTAATTTTGCATCATCCACATTATTTGCTACATAATGTCCAATTATTTTGTGTTTAAATATGTTATAAATAAGGTAGTCGCTTGAACCAATTACAGAGTATTTATAATCAGTACGTTTTAAATAATAAAGTAATGATTTCTCGTCAACACCATGGTAATTTATAAATCTATATCCATACCGTTCGTTAATTTTATCCTATGTGATTGTAAAACATATATTATTAGT